GCCAAGTGGTCATGAACAAAGAAAGAGGAACAAGCATATTCGAACGCGAAGAATCTACTTGTTTCTTCGCATGTTTTAACGCATTACGATCCAGACAAACCTCTTGCTCTACAGTGTGACGCCTCAGCATTTGGAATGGGAGCAGTCCTATGACATCAGATTCCCGATGGAACCATCTGTTCCAGCGCTTTCGCATCCTGAACACTGCACGTCGCTGAGAAGAATTAAGCACAACTGGACAGATACTAGTCGTGATGTTTGGAGTTAAGCGCTTCCATCAACACTCGTGGAGCAATCGGTCTGATTTAGACAGATCATAAAGCACTGATTTTGCTCCTTGGTGAGGGACAAGGTATAGAACAAATTAACGCACCCCGTATGATACACTGGGCACTCATCCTTTCCGCTTACAGCTATCGAATTCGATACATCTCTGGTTCCCACAATAATGTAACCGATGCCCTCAGTAAATTGCCACAGGAGGTGCAAAGTAACGAGAAATGTGGAGCGGCTTGCGAGTTTGCCAAGTTATTACATCACTTAGACACGCACTCTAATATCCAGCGGCATGGTTAGGAAAGCTACAGACCAAGATCCGGTCCTGTCGACGGTGAAACGTTTAGTGTTACGCAGTTGGGATCCCCGATCCACTGAGGTCCTACGTCCGTACTTCAATTTCCGTTTGGAGCTCAGTCTGCATGAAGGATGTATCATCAGTGTATCTCGTAATGTTATTCCGTCTGCTCTCAAATCAGCCGTATTGAGAGAATTACATGGTGCACATCCAGAGGTCGTCCGCATGAAAGCTCTGGCCAGAGGCAACTGTTGGTGGCCGGCCACTGACCGAGATTTTCTAGCTCTGTTGAACGCATGTGCTATATGCCAACAACATCAGAAAGACAAGCTAGCCGGTTCGATTCACCAATGGGAGCTGCCTGATGGTCCATGGGAGCGCGTTCACGCAGACTATTTCGGTCCGATTGAAGGAGAAATGCTGCTACTCTTGGTGGATGCGTACTCAAAATGGATAGATGTACGTATTGTCCTTAACGCTACTTCGGAGACTACAATCAATAAACTGCGCACTAGCTTATCCACATATGATTAAAAGTCGATGCAAGCGAACATATGTTTTCAATAATTCTTCTTCAGGCTTGTACAAGTATATGTGGGAAAATGTTTGACAAAATGTTTGACACAACGTAAAGGTTGGTAAGACAAATTCAGTTCACAGTCACTGATCAAGCACAATCACTATCCGTTAGGTCACAAATGCGGCGTACACTCCATTTCGTGAGCCGGATGTTTTAGTTCTGGTGGGCCAAGGCAATTTTAAGGTCTGAACGAGCCGTTTCTGAGCACACAACTCCGGTTGGTACAATCGAATCGTGGTGGCCTCGGCGGATTCAGGCAGAGGCTTACGAACGCACTTTGATCGATTATCTGGTATCTGGTAGATCACTTTGAATGATTCAGCCAAGTTGGCGGCGTGGCCATTGTCGACGAGATGCGTGGCTATAGATGAGTTGGTTTGTTTTCGACAAGCGGTCATGAGCCACATCGGATGGTGTTCTTTAACCCTTTCAGACAGGCACCTCGTCGTTCGGCCTATGTACGCTGCCCCACAGGAACAGGAGAAAGAATAAATGCACACTAATTTGGCGTGGACGGGACTTTTGTCTTTGGGGCTACTTCTAACCATTGGGTTACTGGCGAACTGGTTTTGCAGTTTTAGCGACGAGTTATGATTTCAGCAGCAATTTCCCCCTTGTATGGTAGTTGGAGAAATATGTCTTCTCTCTGGACTGTAAGGATTACGGGAGCCTTCTTCCTTTGTCCCACGTTGGCTTTCAGGAAACTTTCAGGGTAACCATTTTCTCTCAGCATCAAACCTGTGAGCTTCAGTTCTTCGGGAAACGTTTGAGCAAATTTTTTCTGCTCTACTCATTAGACTGAGGATCAGGTTTCATTTTAATTTCAATGGGACGAAACTGTGGAAATTCAGGTACTGTCCATTCCACATGTGTTTCTTATAAACTCGACGTTATAACATGTCACTCTCGAGCCGTTTCATTGCCACGTCGAGGAAGTGAAAATTACCATTAACCTCTACTTCGGAGGTGAACTAAATGCTTCGTGCGCCTGACTGAATTCATTGGTAAGATCTTCGATGGCTCGAGAAGAGTGTAGCAGTAGAAAGATATCGTTGTGTCAAACATTTTGTTTTTTTAAATCCGCATATGGTATGCCAAAAGCTTTAGTTAGATATAACGGTCCACAATTTCAGTGCAACTTTTGAGAAGTATCTACAGAGTAACGGCATCCACCATATGACTCTTACACCATGTCATCCAGCAACCAATAATTTGGCAGAGACAGCGGTACAAACTGTGAAGACCGGTCTCCTGAAGCAAAGCCAAGGGTCTTTGCACACCAGAATAGATCGACTCTTGTTCGCTTAACGTGCCACACACTTGGAGTCCATCGGCAAAAATCCTGGGGAGGCAATGTTTGGACGTCGCCTAAGCACAAGGTTAGATGTATTGTTTCCAGACTCCCGTCAAACCAGGCGTTTCCAACAACAGCGAATGTATCAGAGTGGACATGAACGCGATAAAACCCAGAGTCTGTTTCCGAAACATGATGTGTATACGAAACTCCCACATCAGCCTATATGGCAGTCCGGAACCGTACTGACCAGTTCACGAAAGGAAGCCGATATACAGTTGGAAACCGGAGAAAAGGTACGCCGGCACAACGACTTAATCGACCCCCAGCATCCACGATATCAGACGCCGGGATGAAACCGTTGATACAGAACAACCTGAGACGACTGAAGAAATCGAAATGGATGAAGCTGATCTACCGATCACTGTTCGAAGACCACGACGTTCACCCAGACGTTACCTTTTACAACCATGATTTTATCTGCCATGTGAAGGGATGTTACGGACATCCACGACCGATGCGTCATGCCACACCCACTAACTTCACGCGCCCAATCTCATGATTATGGTGCATTCGCTGATTGGTCTCTGTTTCGCATTGGTTCGTTTTCGTTCTTTATGTTTTCACTTGGTTCCGGTTAGGAACAGAGTACAGTTTCACACGTACCATCCTGCGTTATTGTTTTTCCTACGTCTAAACGGACTACGGGTCCATACACGGACTAGGAATACACGATTGGTACGTAACGCACACCGTCGCTCAGTGGCTAAAACTGAATAATCTTTGCGCACCGTTACATCTGCACTGCAGATCTTTCTTCGTAGGATGAAGGCTGAGGAGGCCAGGTATTTATGATTGTTCCCTTCGAACAACTTCTTATTTTTCGCAAATTGCAGCAAGATTGCGGCATGTAATAACAATCCGCACTAGTTGAGCTGTGTTGATTTCGTGTGCTCAGATGACCTCTGGCAGTCTAAATCAGGGGGGGTCAGAACACGATGTACTCATTAAAACTTGATGAAGGAAAACTTCGTCTTCATCTGCCACCCAGTCCAATGTGGCCTGACGATACTCAGCGTGGAACGGGTGTAGTCAACGTGTCTGACGCTTTGGATGGATGCGCTGCCAGTTGTATCGCGTAGCATGTGTTCTATTAACCTAAAAACCGTTTGCAATTGCTATGGCCGCAGAATATGTTGTGCTATCAAAATACTCCTGCCTACAGTACTGTGTTCCCCTAAACGTAGGGTATTACGTGACTGCACAAAGCTAACGTTGTGTAGGTAGTACATGGGCGGTGACGAGGTCCGCCCCTGTTCCTACGGAGTCCTGAGTGAAGGCTTACCAATTACTTCGTAAATAGATGCAAGGAAACAACTTATCTGTAGCACTAGTTGGGTCACTTTGAAGTGTAGAATGCTCCCATTCCTGTGTGTTCAAACAAAGTTGTCGAGCTTTAACCCAAAAGATATCGCGATCAGAATGAGGATGACATATCACTATTTGACCACACAGCGGATTGTCCCTAACTGTAAAAATAATAGCTTCTCTTGACTGGTGATCTTTTTCATTTCACAGGAGACTGAATGAATATATGCTATTGTCAGGAACAGAGTCTAAATCCGGTCTATTTTCCCTTTCTGAGTGCTGTAAAGTAACTATGTTATCATGCAAATGGTTACGAAAAGTCGGTTATCTCGAATACCTGTGGTTATGAGTAGAGAGCGAAACTAGAGTCATTAATACTAAAAAGACGTGACTGCTTGCTATTAACCACAGCTCACCTTTGCTTCGATTAGACAGCTTGCACCGGGAAAACCAAAGAGCTGTCGGGCAATTGGGTTACGTGAGGATCCTCCAGTTAACCACCGGTCAGAGAATCAAAATGAGTAGGTAGCTTACTACTTGTGAGTAGGGAATTTTTGACGTAACCGTGGTGACGGACTCACGCAACAGGATAAACGCCAGACGGCTTCCGTCCAACTGCTACTTGTTGGTAGCAAGAACTGAACACATAACCTCCCGTAACTTGCATGTTAATGGAGGATTAATCGCGCTATAGCGCAGATACTTATCAACCATGAACGTCTGTAGCCGCCATCCATGACCTAGCAACACAAACCACTAGATTCGATAGGTAGTGGATTCGGTTCTTAGTAAGGCGCAATTATGAACGCACATTCGTGGGCTGACAATAGTTCCAACGAATGCACTTGACCTAACAAGTGGAAGATCCATCCTTCCCAATGCCGATAGCCAGAGAAATAACACCTACTATGCGCAAATGTTAGCTTATACATTTTGCTGTTTGATACAGGGAAGTAAGAAGCTGAATACGCAGTTGGTCCTCACTGCCTGGGATTTTATTTTCAGCAAAATGCATCCAGTCAATACCATCAATTTGCATATGAAAACGAAAACTTTGTTCGCTCGCGAATCGTAGTTAACAGTCAACACAACCCGAGTGTTGGTACCGCATTCTATGTGGCTTCCGTCTCTGTTTTAAAAATACGACTTTTAGTCGCGTTTTGTTTTGCCATCCGTTTATGCAGGATCTTTTGCAACAAGATGAGTGGCGACTTAAAAATCCCAAGGCAACGCTCTACGTTACCAACAAACTGAAGGTCGTCGAATTGATGTGGGCTTTGTATCTAGTACAACGCGAGGAAAGAATCCTATCCAAAGGTGCATTCGCGGACCAAACAGAACGCAGACAGACCTTCAGAAGCGAAACCACAATCGCTGAGAAAGTCAGTTGACTTCTGTGCTTTAGTGGTTTCTTTATCACCATTATCATTCCACAGTTAGCTAGGGTTTCGAAATAGTTTATCTAATGTGCCGCAATACAGTAAAAAAGAACAAAACAAAAGCGTTATTATTCGCGGTTTTTTATGCATTGACAAAGAGATCCTGATTAGGGGGAAGGCTAAGCTGGATTGGTGGGAAAAAGAAACTCACAGCACAAACGCCACTGAAGTCGACTCTTGGCTGTCAACAAGTGTCTCCAATTAAGCATATTCATGGTCTTTCGACCCCAACCAGAAAGTCGTGAGGCTCCAACTGAGGCCGACTTCGAAGCGAGAGCCTTCACTCCTCTTAACCAACTCGTGGGTTTGCTCCCATCGCTCTTCTTCAATCTAGACCTTGGTCGCGCGAATAATTCGAGTCGCGGGAGTCGGTGTGTTGGCATACACAACATGTAGCCCAGTCAATGGATTCCCGTGCCTGAAATAATGTCACTGAGCAGTTCACACTTCCCTCGCGCACGCTCATTGATCACGCGGTGTTCCCAACAACTGTGAGCATCTATGACTTACCCACTCATTGAGGCTGGTTTACCAGTAAGTATCCTTAGAATAACTAGAATTATCACTTGTGGCTTCATCACCGAGACTAGAGGTGCCTGAAACTGTGTGCCCGTGTTCATCCTATTAACAACTACTCTGGCTTTAGGTAGGTCTTACCCTTTTATCAAAAGCTTTCTTTCTCAGTCTTGTGCTTACTTTACTATAATGCACATGAATGTCACGAGTTTGTTTATAATATAATGGCAAAGTGTACTACAACTCGTGCCAGCCACTGACGTAACTCGACCACATCGTGATCAGTTACCGCTAACGTAACTGCGTCCAAAACTGTCGCTCAAATTGGAGCATTAGCTTGAACTCTTACCACACACTGGTTTGTGCCGATCTCCTAGTTCCTTTCGGTGGGTTTATGAGGCGACACTGTGAGCGCTTAGATACCTGTCAGCTGGCCAACCTAGATGTTCTAAATATGTATCGAAGTAAGCTGGCTGAATAAAGAAGTGGGCAGCTGGTTGCATATCTGCCAGATGTTAGTTGCAGCTGGCATATTCACGTGACAAAACAAATTGCCAAGCTGGACACAGGACCTCTATCCAATCTCTGGAACTTGTAGATACTCGCTAACATATTCCGGCTTGGAGCAAACAAAAGTGACCTGCAAAAGCTCAAGACGAAACTGCATGATAACCTGAAGGGAGACCGCGAAGCCCGGTGGTTTTATCGTTCATCGGAAATGGAGACTGCCGCTGCTCTTGGTCAGCATCGGAAGTTATTCTGTCTGAGGCGCAGAACGAGCAGCAGTAAACCTGATGTTAACGAGAACACCCACGTCGATAGCGTAAAGCCTAGTCTCAGTCGGTCAAAATGCTTGGGGCGTTGGGTCGAACCCTTTGAAAAGCAGCTTAGTCGGTCAGGGATACCACCTTCTCCATCGGCCAATGATTGTCGTTCTGCCTGGGAGTCCTCCGGGAATCGCCTCCACGCGCGGCAAAAGAAGGTGAGATCAGACTGTTGAAAGTAATTGAGGTTGCAGGAGCACATTGACTTCCTCCATCCCACTTCAAATTCAGAGGGCCTGTTCTTGTAGTTGGTCTGTACAAATTACTTGTGAATTTGGGGAACACGAAACTGTCCCAGCAGACTGTAGCCGCTCTGTCATAGTCCCAGTTTTCAAAGAGGACTTACTTTCCGAATGTAACAATCGCAGAGGGCTCTGAACAAAACCATAAGAAGACGAGCACTGCAATAGGCAGCAGTTCGGGTTATCTGATCAGTTGCAAACTAACGTAGACCGATCACGTGAGGGAAGAAAATCCTTGTTTTGAATAGGCCAGAAAAAGGGCACACAAGCAAAACAATAGCTGTTAGCGCTTGGCAAAGATCATGAACTCCAAGGAAGTTTAAGGCTACTGTCAGTGGTTTTTGTACACAGAGCGTGGGACGCGAACGATTAAGCGACAGTGCCTCGGCGAACTTCAGCACTGGCGTTTTCGTTTCGGTAGATAACCGTTAAAGTTGCGTCTGGGTCAACTTAATGACCCGTACTGATTAGGTGTCTAGCGATGGGCGATGCCGACAGTTTGCCGGCTACTCCTTGCCCACTTGCTTGCAGTGCTATCAGCCCAACAGTTCGCTTCGGAATATGCTCACCGATCCGTTTATTCAGTCAAAGGTCCGTTCTGTCAAGGTAATTGCTTCCGCAGCTACAGACAAATTGGTAAATGCAATGAGCTGTGGCGAAGAACGGTTGAGTAGGTTTGATTGGAGATATCGGCAGAGGGAGCATTCTGTTCTCAATTGTCTCCATGTTACTCACCTCTGTCGTACTTCATAGAATTACTAACACCCCTGAAAGCCAGATTTGTGGGCAGCAAGCCGGGTTTCGTCGAAATCGGCATTGTAGTGCTCACATCTTCGCATTGCTTTAGTTGTTGGTGCACCGCCATATTTAGCAGCTAGCCACAGTTGTCTTGTTCCTAGACATCAAAGGGGCCTTAGGTTCTGTTGATCGATGTGCATCTTGGGACTGTCTACTGAGTAAAAGTGTGCCCGCTAAAAAAGCCCACATTACTAGAGGGCTTTACGCGCATATTCCGGCTTACAGTAAACTGTCGCCGTCTCTTAATAACTCCAGCGGGGTGAGATAAGGTTTCCCGTTCTCGTCTTTCCTTCTTAACTTCGCCATCGACTAAGTCATGGAGAGTACACACTGGTCACGAGCTAAAAGCCATAGAGCTGCTCCCAGGTGATCGACATCATGACTTGCAGTACGCCGACGACACTGCCCTTATCTGTGACAGCTCCCAAACTTACCAAGTAGCATCGGAAGTTAGTCGTTTCAGGCCATGATTTTCACCGTTGAAATACAAATTTTTTCTCCAAGATTGGCGAGAACTCACCACTGCGCTGACGCTTTGTGAGGATCACTTAAAAGTCGTCGAGAAATTCAAGTATCTTGGCAGATATATTAGCACCATTAAAATGGAAGATGAGGTCACAAACCGTCTAGCAAATCTCAAGGCGCTTTTTCAAATCTCTGCCATCTGTGGCGCCGGCCTGACATTACTATCGCTCTGGAGAACAGGGTTTACAATGCAGCCGCTTTGTTCATCCCTCCTGTACGGTTGTGAAAACTGGCTCATTTAGTGGACAGGCATAAATAGGTTAGTTACGTTCGATCATCGCTGCGTTCACAGCTTAGCTCAAATCTGGTGCGAGTACAGCTAGAGCATCGAGCGTGTTTGGCGTGGTGTATTTAGTGCAGAAAGAGCGAGTGGACAGCTCATCACAGTTATATCACGCACCAGGCTCCGATGACTGGGCCACATGTTGCGCACGCCAGCACACGGACTCCCGTGTCATGCGCTTTTTGAGCGCCGGGTTGTGGATGGTAAAAGAGAAGAAGACAAACCGATGAATTGGTCAAGAAATATGAAGTTCTTCACTTCGAACTTGGCGTCGGTTGGTGTCTCCCGACTACCCAGCTGGGGATAGAAGGAAGATGAACAAGTTTGGCTGGATACCTTACTTGGCATGACCAAGAGCTGGCTTCAATGGCGTTTGTGTTGTGTGTTTCTTCCTCCCTCCTCATCCCGCCAACCTCTTACCTACCATAACGATCTCTAGCTTGAGACATAACATGGTATTCATAGTTTATTGGATGCTATAATATATAGTATCTCGCTTTTTCATATAACTCGTCTTTTTGCCTTGCGGAAGAAAGGCTGAAGTGTTTCTCACTTTCACTTGATGCATGATAATCAAGATGACCATGAATACCACATTATTTCCCACCCTGCGAAGGGGAACAGCAAGCGCACTGAAGCAACAGTGCAGTGATTACTGGCGCGTAGCAATACTAATGCTTGACAATTCCGGTAGGACGGTTAGGGTGAAAACTACCAGATGAAAATTCAATGTTTATAACAGAAGGTACTAGGTCCAGGAGTCACTAGGAGATTTACAGCAGTACAGGTGTCAGAAATGTTGCCCTGATTTTAAGGTAGATTTTATACCGTCCACTGATTGTTTTGCTCGGAGGTTGCCAAAGACAACGAACAGTGACTTCCTACGGATTAAGGAGCACTATTTTATAAACCCCTTTGCATGGTCTGGAAGATTATCGGATAAACGTTAATTGAAAAACGGTTGGTACTTGTACTGTTAAAAGAGTGAAATCATCGTTTCGATAGAGTAGCCCTGCACCCTCCGTAGTTTAACAGCTCTAATAGACGACAAATAATAAATCCAATATATTTCCATACAGTAGGACAGAGGGATAGTACTAGGTAACGAAATGCGCGCGGCTGAGTGCCTCACCCAACCAACTTTTAAATGTGGCTTGCGTAGGTGCAAAAATGATCGATACAGGGAGGGCGTTCCACGAATGACACATGCAATTAGAAAAATCTATTTTTACGGTACTCGAAACCGCTATACTACTCCGCTAGTTCCATGGGATGACCTTTTAACTTTACGTTACTGTTAGGTTGCAGTAAAAAACGGCAGACATGGTTTGTATTGGGCAAACTCAAGTAAGCCATTATCAGGTCAGCTCGTAATCGGGGATATCGTCCGCTGAATACACCCAAACTTTTCATCCTCTGCTCGTGCAGAAGATTGCACGTTCCAGTGATGAATTTGAAACAGGAATTTTAGGCTGGTCCAATCCAGTGGGGTCGTGCCTTAGTCATGACTGCCATTCATGAATTGCCTATTCGACATGAAGGCGAACATACGTAGTGAGCATCTGTCAGAAAATAGAAATGTCTATTTGTCAGAACGCTCTTCTCAACAGACCGACCTGTTGGTTACCAGTTTTCGATGCCTTCTCGGATTACCGGAAACAAAATTCATCCCGAATTAGCAGGCCTAGGTCGCATCCGATGGATGATATTAGGAAAACAAGTTTGTTTTCACTGTTTATTTATTTATTATTATTT